GACCCCATATCTCTCCATAAAGAGGACCTGTCACTAGTTATTTCTATCACAAGGGATGCATGCATTTCTTGAAATAAGAATAAGAGTGATTAAACTTTTTTTATTATATATTTAAAAAAAAAAATTGAAAAGTGCCCCCATCTCCCCGTGCTCACACGTAGTATTGAACGCATACGTAGGCCATGCCCGCATGTGTAAATGGTGTTCAAACCACACATGTGAGGCATCGCCACGAACGTCGGAGCAAGAGCACTAATTCTCGCACTAGACCTCCTCTGTAACTTTACACTGCTAACATGTAGAATTTTGAAAGCATCACCCATGGAGATTTTTAAGTACCGCAGTTTCATGCCATTCCACGAGCGTACGCAATTTTAAAGTGTGACATGTTGGGTATCTATTTACTCACCGTAACATCCTCTTTCATATTTTACAAAACAATTATGTTTTTTTTTTTGTTTTTTTAATCAGTGTATTTTTTTCCAAAAAATATATATTCATTTTTAAAAAAAAAACTGCTGATTTCGGTTTTCGGCCAAGTGCATTTTGAATTTTTGGTTTTGGCACCAGAACTTTCATTTCGGTGCACCACTTTTTTGATTGAAAAGATACTTTTATTGCAGAAGCATCAAAAACAACATGATACGTGTAATCGGAGTACATCTCACCCTGTACTGCGACGCAGCGCACCACATGGCAATACAGTTCCAAGCATACAATAAATACATTCAGAAATAAATACATTCGCTCAGCGGTATGATGCCTGACGTGATGTGCCGAGGATGAATCCCCAGACCACCACGTCATGCATAACGCCGCTTACCCCAAAAACTGTAACATTCTACTACACATTACGTTACCTAACAATACTAGTGCATGCACAAAAAACGAAAAACCGGATATTGCAATCAATCAATAGGCATCATCAGGTATGTGTGGTAAGGGGGGGGGGGGGGAAACCACAGGCCCGAAGCTTTATTGAAAAGACAAAGACACGCAAGGGGGAGTAGGGGGAAGGGGGAAATCTTCAGACGTCCTCTTCCTCCTTAAAGTCCATCAAGGAATAGTCCCTGAGCAGACTGAGGGTCAGTCTGCGGCAGTCCTCAATGGACATCCTCTCCCGCTGGTGGATGAGGCGCTTCCTGGCGCACCATAAAGCGTCCTTAAAGCAACACAGCACCCTCCAGGCACTGTCAATGTCCTCCAGAGAAAAGGTTCCACAGAACAGTCCATTCAACACCCCAAAGTGAGTGATGGCTGTCTGTGGTACAAAGTCCTTGAGTTCAGGTTCCAGGGCCCCCAACAGGGCCTGAGCAAATGAGCACTCCCAGAAAACGTGGTAAGACGTTTCCTCGTGGATGATGCAGAAGGGGCAGTGTCTGTATCTGCTCAGGTTCCTGGCATGCATAAATGTCCTGAGAGGCAACCCCCCTTGGATTGCCATCCATGCCAGGTCTTTGTGCCTGTTGGTGAGGATGTTGGAAGAAACATTCCTCCAGACCACCTTGCAGGTGTCTGAAGGCAGGCCTGGAACCGACTCCAAAATGTCGCTGGCTCGGATGAGCTTGTAGATTGTCTTTGGCACCACTAGTTTATATGAAAGTTATAGCATCTACAAATGGCAGTATATATACTGGAATTTTTTATTTTTTTTTTTTATACTTGTAATGGCAGCGATCAGAGACTTATAGTGGGACTGTGGCGGGCATTCTGACACTGGGTGGGAACTAATTGCCACTGACATCCCTGGTGACACTAATACAGTGATCAGTGCTAATAAAAATAACTGACACTGTACTAATGGCACTGGGCAGGAAGGGGTTAACATCCAGGGCGATCAAAGGGTTAACTGTGTGCTGTGTGTCTTTTACTTTGTTGTGTTTTACTACGGAGACATGCTGTTTTGTATCCCTCTGTTGTGCAGAGAGATACAAAACAGCATTTCCCTGCTGACAGTAGAGAGACCTGTGTTGTTTACACACAGGTCTCTCCCGTCAGGTTTCCCCGATGATCGATCGCTGAGTGCCAGCCGGGAATTGCTGGCTGGGACCCAGCGACTGACATTTCTAGCCGCGCGGGTAGGGTGATGTGCGCTCCCTACCCGGGAATGCAAATCACGTGTATGTATACGTGATTTTGCACAGCCCTGCCGCCCTGTAGCAGTACTACTGCTATAGGGCAGAGGGCAAGTTTCAACAACACAGCTAGGTCATCTCCCAGCCTCCAGGCTGTGAGTGGACAGCCAAGGAGCAGCAAAAGCTAGATGAGGTCATCTCTCTGCTCTTTCTTCTTGTTGGCAGGCTCCATGCACACCAGCGTTTTTTTTTTTTTTTTTTTTTTTAAGCTCCTAGATGCCATTATCAGCATATTTGTTTCTGCTCCTAGAATCTGAATAGTGTTTTCCTATGTATCCACGCACACTACTTTAAGTTATTAGCATTTTTTTAGCTTCAGCGTCTAGGAGCAGAAAAAATGTTTTTGTCGAGTTTTTTTTTTTTTTTGGGACATTTTCCATCAGAAATAAAACCGCTAAATGCTGCTAATCACTACTAAAATGCTCCTACCAGCTTTTTTCTAGCTTTTTTTTTTTTCTTGTAAAAATGCTAATAAGCGTTAACGCTCCTAAACACTTTTGAACGCTAGTACCAGCATTTTTCCCCAGCATTTTTTGGCCTTAAAAAATTGCTTGTGTGCATGGAGCCTTAAGTTGACAGACGATGGATAAAAGAGGACATAGATAATGGATAAAAGTAAAGACTTTTAGAAAATTTATACTGCTCAAGTTATTATTGGGTTTTGTTTTTGGACAATTTTTAATACAAATATAGGCATGCTCAATAAGGCAAAGGACATCTGACTCTTAGACTGAAATCCAGGTGCCATTTGTGATTGTACTCATCACTTCAGCTTTGATCTTTGCATTGCTTTGCATTTCAAGTAATATTACAGTGGAGTTTCACCCAAAAGGGGAAGTTCCGCTTTAATCCTTTGGCACCTTTGGGGAACGGGTACCCGAATTTGACAGATACCTGCTCCCACTTCTGCTGTGATTGCATATGCGATCGGAAATGAAAGTTGTCCTCCCTCCCAGTAGTCTTCTGGGACACGTGACAGGTCCCAGAAGACCACGGGGCCATTCACAAAGCGCAGCGCTTCTCGAGCATGCGCAGTGGGCACCCGGCTGTGAAGCCACAAGCTGTCACAGCCGGGTGCCCACACTAAAGATGCCGGTGCCAGAGAGAGAAGATGGCCGGTGAAACCAGCGGTGGTGAGGACACCGCTGGACCGAGGGACAGGTAACTGGCTGCATTTTAAGTCAGCTGGAACTCTGCTTTAAAGTGTAATAAAAGAGGTATTAAATCCAAAACCAAAACTATGATTAAATGAAGCCTACCATTCATTAGGTGTAGTGGCTGCATTTGTTTTTTCTTTTCTTGGGCTTTTTTCCTCTGTTTTCACCTGGCGATCTGGCCAGTAACACACCTCCTGTATTGGAGTGCCCCCATTCTGAATGAAGGAGCACATACATAAATTGATTATTTTGATCAGTATCCCCTCTGATGATGTGCCTTAGCACGAAAGGCCTCAGGAGGAACTGACAGCCTGTGACGCCTTTTTGCCGCCCAGACCACGAGGAGGTCTGGCGGCTACTTCATTCAGGGGGTCAGCAGACACAGCTTCCAACTATATCCAGAGGAAGGAAGCCTTCACCTGGAGGGATTCTTTATCCGGTCGATCCATCCTGATCATAAGGAGGTCCTGTGAGCCCAGCTGACTATCGTTTGATAATACCCCTTCCTGAGGGAGATCGATATCTGTGGAATTTAATACACACATGCGCATTTCCTATGCGCGGTCGGTGAGTGCGCAATTCTGGCATTTCTTCCGGATTCCTCATAGCTGTGTCCACTTTATTATATCGATGATTTAACGAACATTTGATAACAAATTTCAGATCGAACTTTTTAGATCGAACTTTCTGCTTGTTATTTTTAGCGCTGCACTATATTTATCTATGATTATTTTGATTATTAAGGTGATTATTGTAAGTTCGTGAGACACAACTCTGGAAGAATGAGCACAGGATGTCCAGCAGCATTTTCAGTCTGAGTGGGGCAGAGAGTGTTAAATGTGTTAGCAGATTTAAGTACAATAACATATTAAAGCCAAACTCCAGTTAATACTTTGAGTGGTTACAGCAAACACTTCTTTTACTTCTAGGATTAGGCTATAACCTGAATAAAGGCTTATTGTAAGCACCCCTGTCATTGGTAAATGGTTTGTCTCATCCATGTATACTGATGCATTCTACTGGAGGGCTTGTTTTTTTCAAAACAGAAAAAAGAAAGATTAAAAAAGGAAATGAATAAAACCATCACATCTAGGAAATTGGTAAGTGCAAATAATACATGTTTGCTTTTGGGTTTAATACTGCTTTACACTTAACAAAAAAAAAACTGCTAGGATTTTTATTACGGAGGAGACTCTATTGGACCCTATTCTCTTTGTTGTTTTTATTATATTTGATGCAAACTTAAACAAGCCAATGAGGTTGATTTATTAAAGGCAAATAGGCTGTTGCAAGGGAATTTTGCGCTTTGCAAGAAATTTTCCATAGCTTAGTGAATGTGGTGAAAAATTCAAACACAAGCAAGGAAAATTATTAAATAAAAGTCTATTGCTTGCACATGATTTGATCGGATTAGAAAAGTCAGCATTTTGTAAGCTCTGGGGAAAATCATTTTGAAAAGTGATCAGCCTATTTGGTATTAGTAGATCAACCCCAACATCTGTGTTGTAATGGTTCTATAGCTGTTAATTTGTTGTTCTCCAAATGTTTCGTCAAGTCTTAAGTTCTGCAGTTAATGGCTATTTTCATTTGTCAGTGGTATTGGCTTGTGTCTGGTCCAAATTTTCAGAAGTTAAATTTCGGTGATTTTTTTTTTTTTAGTTACATTTCCTTGGTTGGAATTTTTGTGATATACACTATACTACCAAAGGTATTGGGACACCCCTCCAAATCTTTGGATTCAGGTGTTCCAATCCCCTCCATGGCCACAGGTGTATAAAATCAAGCACCTAGCCATGCAGACTGCTTCTACAAACATTTGTGAAAGAATGGGTCGCTCTCAGGAGCTCAGCGAAAGGTTGGCAGTAAGTCCATCCGTGAAATTTCCTTGCTACTAAATATTCCACGGTCAACTGTTAGTGGTAATATAACAAAGTGGAAGCAACTGGGAACAACAGCAACTCAGCCATGAAGTGGTAGGCCACGTAAAATGACAGAACAGTGTCAGCGCATGCTGAAGCGCACAGTGCACAGAAGTCTCCAACTGTCTGCAGAGTCAATAGCTAAAGATCTCCAAACTTCGTGTGGCCTTCAGATTAGCACAACAGCGCGTAGAGAGCTTCATGGAATGGGTTTCCATGGCCGGGCAGCTGCATCCAAGCCTTACATCACCAAGTGCAATGCACACTGTTGGATGTAGTGGTGTAAAGCACACCGCCACTGGACTCTGGAGTGACAAATCATGCTTCTCTATCTGGCAATCCGATGGACGTGTCTGGGATTGGCGGTTGCCAGGAGAACAGTACTTGCCTGACTGCATTGTGCCAAGTGTAAAGTTTGGTGGAGGGAGGATTATGGTGTGTGGTTGTTTTTCAGGGGTTGGGCTTGGCCTTTTAGTTCCAGTGAAGGGAACTCTTAAGGCATTAGCATACAAAGACATTTTGGACAATTTCATGCTCCCAACTTTGTGGGAACAGTTTAGGGATGGCTCATTCCTGTTCCAACATGACTGCACACCAGTGCACAAAGCAAGGTCCATAAAGACATGGATGAGTGTGTTTGGGGTGGAGGAACTTGACTGGCCTGCACAGAGTTCTGACCTCAACCCAATAGAACACCTATGGGATGAATTACAGCTAAGACTGTGAGCCAGACCTTCTCGTCCGACATCAGTGCCTGATCTCACAAATGTGCTTCTGGAAGAATGGTCAAACCTTCCCATAGACACATGCCTAAACCTTGTGGACAGCCTTTCCAGAAGAGTTACATAGTCTGGCTGAAAAAAGGCAAAAGTCCATCCAGTTCAACCATTGAGAAAAAAAAAAGTTTTAATCCTACACCCACAGTTTATCCAGGGGAAGGCAAAAAAACCAGCAGAGCATGATCCAATTTGCTCCTGCAGGGGGAAAAAAATTCCTTCATGATCCCCCGAGAGGCAATCGGATATTCCCTGGATCAATTTTACCTATAAATGTTAGTATCCAGTTATATTCTTTGTATCTAAGGAATAATCCGGGCCTTTTTTTAAAGCAATCCACTGAGCTGGCCAGAACCAACTCTTGAGGGAGTCTATTCCACATTTTCACAGCTCTAACTGTGAAGAAACATTTCCGTGTTTTGGAGATTAAATTTCTTTCCTCCAGACGTAAAGCGTGCCCCCTTGTCCTCTGTGATGACCTCAGGGTGAATAGCTCTACACCGAGTTCACTATATGAACCACTTATGTATTTATACATGTTGACCATATCCTCCCTTAATCTCCTCTTCTCAAGAGAGAATAAATTCAGTTCCTCTAATCTTTCCTCATAGCCGAGCTCCTCCATGCCTCTTATCAGTTTTGTTTGCCCTTCTCTGTACTTTCTCCAGTTCCCCAATGTTCTTTTTGTGAATTGGTGCCCAAAATTGAACTACATATTCCAGATGAGGTCTTACTAATGATTTGTACAGGGGTAATATGATCTCCCTCTCTCCTCTCTCTCTCTCCTCCTCTCTCTCTCCTCTCCTCATACAAAAGAGGATTTTGCTCGCTTTAGAAAGCTCAGCTTGGCATTGCATGCCATTATTAAGCTTGTGATCTACCAGAACCCCCAGATCCTTCTCCACCATTGATTCCCCCAGTTGTACCCCCCCCCCCTCCCAGTATGTATGATGCATGCATATTCTTAGCCCCTAAGTATATAACCTTACATTTATCAACATGAAACCTCGTTTGCCACATAGTTGCCCAATTAAACAGTGCATTGAGGTCGGCTTGTAAATTGAAGATATCCTGTAAGGACGTTATTCCACTGCACAGCTTGGTGTCATCTGCAAAGAATGAAATGAATTTATAATCTCAGACCCTATATTGTTTTATAAATATATTAAAAAGTAAGGGTCCCAACACTGAACCTTGGGGTACACCACTAACAACCCTAGACCCTTCAGAGTATGAATCATTAACCACTACTCTCTGAATACGATCTTTTAGCCAGTTTTCTAACCATTTACATATGGATTTTTCCAAGCCCGTAGACTTTACCTTACACATTAGCCGTGTGTGGGGAGCTGTGTCAAACGCTTTTGCAAAATCCAAGTATACCACGTCCACCACCACCCCTCTGTCCAACGTTTTGCTCACCTCCTCATAAAAAGAAATCAGATTTGTTTGACAACTTCTGTCTTTCATCAATCCATGCTGTCTGTTGCTTAAAATATTTTTTCCCAGCAAGAACTCATCTATGTGGTCTTTTATTAAACTCTCCAGTATCTTCCAAACTATAGAAGTTAAACTAACAGGGCTGTAATTACTTGGTAAAGATTTTGACCCCTTTTTAAATATTGACACCACATTGGCCTAAAGCCAATCCAGTGGTACTATGCCAGTCAATAAAGAGTCTCTAAAAATGAGAAACAATGGCTTTGAAATGACAGAGCTCAATTCTTTATGGACCTGTGGGTGTATGCCATCCGGTCCAGGTGTTTTATTCACCTTTTATTCTGCCTAAATATTTTTGGATCATATCAATTGTGAGCCAACGTGGATCATCTGGCGCTGTCAGTACCATGCCCATTATGGACAAGAGCTCCCGCATGCTCCTTTGTATACACAGAGCTGAAGAAGGTATTACATAAATTTTCCTTCTCTTTGTCCCCAGTCACCCACTCTAGATTATTTTGTAAAGGGCCTACATGCTCGGACTGGACCTTTTTTACTATTAATATATTTGAACAATTTTTGCAGTCTGTAGTTTGTTTTTAGTTTTTGCGGCCTTTATTTCCTTTTTGCATATTCTATTAAAAAATATGGAACGCTTCACGAATTTTCGAGTTGAAGCTGATATAGCTGCAAAGGGTGGGCCAAGTCAATATTGAACTCTACGGACTAAGATTGGGATGCCATGAAAGTTCATGAAAAGGCAGGCGTCTCAATACGTTTGGTAATATAGTGTAGATTATCATTAGAGAGTTGGAAATTCTGTATATAGCCCTACAGAACAGACAGTGCACAGTCCACATGTGCTTTTCTGCTTCACTGCAACCAGGAAACAGGAAGGTTTTTCAGAGAAAAGACAGTTTACCATCCATGCAGCTACAAACTTAAAAAAACACTGCCATCTACTGGTTGAAGAACATATCTCTACTGAATACTGATATAGTTGCACAAAATACATGAACATTGTATTCCAGCCGTACTAGAACAAGTGTATTGTAGAGTTTTACCTGCTGCAGCTCTGCTAAAAGTAACTCATGGGTTCCAGGTTCATATGACTTCCAAAACCTTTTTTGTAGGCCTTACCAACCTGAATCATGTGATCAGCCTCATTGTGCATCAAAGTGCAGTGTGCAGAGCAGAAGAGCATACGATTTAATTTCTGGGACATTCCTTGCACAAACAAAAATGTAATTTCCTGCCATGGATGCCAGTGTTTAAGAGTAGGTCACACTACCCACAAAGGACATTGTTCTTTTTTTTTTTTTTTTTTGGGCAGTGATCACATTTACTAGCAAATGAGGGGGTGGTGCCTTGTGTTTTTACAATGCAAGACACTCCCCTTCCCCCCCCCTTTTTTTTTTTTTCTTTTTCTCTTTCCCTAAACTTTATTGGAATGTCAAAGTGGCCTTGCATTCATTTATGTAATGTACGTCTTCCCTTAGGTAAACGGATGTATTTACTACAGATAAGATTTAATAAAACTGGGAATTGCAATCAGGTTCAGCTCTGCATAGAAACCAATCTGCTTCCATGTTTTTTTTTTTGTCAAAGTTTAATTGAACAAACTGAAGTTAGAAGCTGGTTGGCTACCATGCACAGCTGCACCAGATTTTGTACTTTACAGTTGTAGTAAATCAACCACCATATGTCCTAACGACAGCAGACTTATTTATAATTTGCTTTTCACATATATTTATAATATCGCAGGTTTGTATGTCATTATAATTCTCTGCATGGTGCCTGTGCTGAGCGGCCCAACTCCTGTGTTCACAATGCATCAGTTCTAGCTGCTCAGTACAGGTCCTGGAAGCAAGTGGAGATCACTACTATGTCAGTTTCATTGATTTCAAGCTTCTAGGGGTGTTGGTCAGGTATAGTATTTACTGTACAGAGTTACTTTGGTCCGAGCTGGACCAGTGTAACTATGTAAAAATATACTATGCCTGAAATCGATCTTTGAATGCTGGTACGGGGCTGGCTTGTGTCCATCACTGCCCATGGTATATTTTTATAGCATCCCAACATGTCTACCTTCTGGGGTCGAGATTACAGAAAATCAAGCCTACAGGCATCTACAGCACACACCAGAGAAAACTGGAGCTATCCCTAGAATACCCAGTATATTGTTTTCCTAATACGCTTCTTCAAGGAACATTTCACTCTGTGCACTCATTTACATTTTCATTTTCCATAATGAATGATTGATTGTTCCAGGAGTTTGAGGTGAGCTATTTGTGACCGTAGGCTCCATTGTTTACATACATAAGCTGTGCTGCTGGCTTCTTGAATAGGAAGATGTGGGAATATTGATTATTTTATCCTTCTATTGACTCTTTCTCCTCGGGGAGTCAAGCCCTTGTCAATAAACTTGAAAGCTTTATGCACGGAAAAAAGCTGTACGGTGATTTTGTCTTAATCCATCAGCATCCCGTTCATCAGATACACTTAAAATCCCATCACTGGTAACCTCAAATTTTATTGTTTCAATGTTTCCGTAATTACCTTATTGTTGTGGGTGATGGTAACCTTGCCCCTGTAGTCTACGGAGAAGGCTCCCGTCTTCTATATACTCTCTGTATCAGTCGATCAATATTACTAGAATAGGTGGGTCAGCGGGCTGCCTTGCTGATTTGTAACGTTGCTGGATTAAATTATTTTCTGAA